TAATAAAGTCGTTCACCACAACCATGACCTCTGAGTTAACAAATGTAATAGCTAAAACTTAGTTCTTAGAATTAGAATCACAGTACAGGACACATATTACGGTTTTCTACTCTGTCCTGAAAAAGAGTAGTAGCTAATAACATCCAATATGAAATCCAATAATGGAGATGGCTACTACAGGTTTTGACCTCTGATTTAAAAAGAGTGAGTTAATAACATCTAATATAGAATCGTATAATAGAGATGTTTGCTACAATTTTGACCTCTGACCTAACAAGGGTAGGATGTAATATCATTTGCTAGACTTACAAAAATAAACATGTTGAATGAGGTTACGAAAACAAGAATAATATATGACTTTTTATTCCAACAAACGTGTCTTAACATGACCAATAACATGTTGCTAAATAAGAAATCATTATAACTTCATGACAGAAAAATATTTTTAAAATGTTTTCTGGTGTCTTTCGATTATACTTATTGAGGGAACTTCCTGTAAAAATATAACGGCATATCAATTAGAACATGAAATTGAGTTACATAAATAACGAAGTGGTCATGGAAACAAAAGCACCTAGTTTAACCAAATACGTTCCAGTGTTTTACTGATCATAAAACGTGCTGAAAGATGAAGCATACGAGTATAAATTCTTACCAAATACGTTCCAGTGTGTTACTGACCATAAAACGTACTGAAAGATGAAGCATACGTGTATATATTCTTACCAAATACGTTCCAGTGTGTTACTGACCATAAAACGTACTGAAAGATGAAGCATACGTGTATATATTCTTAATGGTTTGAAGTTATTATGGATTTGTCCCCGGTGACCTCTCATTTGTATTAATACATAGCGAACGACAGAACTTTTTAACTGTTTACTGCACGAGGTTTCTCTTATATAGCAATGAATGGTTTGGTATCAGGTAGCATCAAAAACATTTGTAATGGTAACTAATATTTTTTAACAAACTTTAGCAGTTTGTTTGTTTGATGAGCACAAAGCAACAAAATGAACTATCTGCGTTGTGTTTACTGCAGGGGTCGAACCCCGAATTATTGGGTTACAAGTCCTTAAGCTTACCGTTCACCCACCGGTGAATTTATACATAAATTAAGATATATTTAAAGTCTTTATAAGACTATATTTTATATATAGCTTTAAACTATTTCAAAATGTATGTTTTGCTTCACAGTGAATATTATACACAAATGACGTTAATGAAAAGTAAGCAATACGATGCATGCATTCGTGAAACTGAACACTATTTGACAAACAAGGCTACGAGTGAATTATACTATGGTAGAAAAACAACTCCTGACATCTGTACGAGGTTACGTTTAGTTTTACCATTTGGAAAGCTGCTACAGAAACCCTAGTGTAACGTATAATACGCCACAACTTGATCTTATTATTACTTCCTTTCTGGAATGCACACTTTAGCCCGAAGCTTCTGTAGTCAAGGAAAGGTTCACGAAGACGCATCCTATTGTGGTCGGCATTGATTATATATCAGCTGAGCAAAAAATCTGTAGCATCATGCGTCATTGATATTGATACTCAAACCAACAACAGCCCCCGTGATTATTATCAAGAACGACTTACCTTATGGTTTTATGCACCGATTGATGTCTATTTTGTGCGGTTCTACATTCCTGCAAGGCTACACAAACTTTATCCTCTTCATCCTGGAGCACATGAGAGCTGCATCTTTCATGACACTCGAGTTCTACCATTCCCTGTTTGGATGAAGTTGTTTGTACTGAACTGGCTCCTCCATTCTCATCTAGTGAGTTTTGCGCCATCTATAGATGATTTGGTAAACTAAATTCAAGAGCACGTTGAATCACTACCGTTCAAGAAACACATTGAACCAATCTCTTTCGGACTGTAGACCTTCTTATATCGGGATAAGTCTACTAACACAAATGTTTACTTTTCAAGAAATATCTATATTCCGAAATATTTGTACTCATAAGCTTTTAACCTTTGTGCAAACGACTCTACATATTTTAAACATTTTGTAAAACTTTCCTCAAAAACGGCTGGGAAATATACCTAAAATATACTATTTAGTTCTTATTCAGTTTCAAAGATCAATTATTATTCTGTGTTTGTTAAATTAGAACTTAATTCGGACTTTCTTTTAAAGTTTGAAGATAAAACTGTTTCTTTAGAGCTAATTCATTAATTCAAACATAAAACTAACCTGTGCGAGATTAACATTGAAAAACTTCCTTGAACATTTGTATAAACAGACAAATGACGTCTCGATTAAAGATACATTACCAAAGAGCTGTAGTAAATAATAAGTATTACCAATTATTGACAAATTAGGGTGATGTAGTAATGTTTTGCTCCCTACATTTTACTAAAACAGAGATATGGTTGTGTATTAAACACTATCTGTTTATATAGTCATTGAGGATAATTTTTGGTATATAATATGTACGAGACAAGTAAGAATTCTGGACTCTTTAAACAACTGTATATGTAATTCGAAGATTAAATTAAAAGTTTTTGATTATTGTTCAATATATTTTCTCATAAAAATCATGCCTCGGTGGTGCTATACTTTAACTTGTCATGTTAGTAGTTTCCCTGATATATTTCAATTATTTCCAACCATCTCGTGCCTAAATTTGGCAAATACTATTGAAATTGGGGCCAAAAAATCTTTAGTGGATATGTGACGAAATTAGTCAACTTTGAATGTACCTAGACAAAAAGACTACGCTTTTTTTTTAACATTCTCAACACTAGGTCCGTAAGATTATTGGCTGCGTAAAACTCCATAGAACAAATAGGTCCCCTTTGTTCGAACAAAACGACACCATAATGAGTCTCACAAAATGCTGCGACTTCGACAGTTTAGCAGCAGTCTAAAAGTCTTTTACGTTTTCACAAATTCAGCTTATCAGTACAATTTCAATTAATGTAGTATCTTTAGTTAATAAAAGTGTTCATTTTATTATTTCGTAAGAACTTTAACTTATAGCAGCATATTTCATATTATTGCATTGCGTCACATTCAACTTTGTAATAAATCAATAAAAGCAGTGTTTCTGCTAAGGCCAAGAATGATTTAGTGGTTATAGTTTAAACCCTTTTCATCGTTAGTGTGCTATGAAACTGGAGTGATGTTACTAACTGGGAGTGGTTATTTAGTGGTTATAGTTTAAACCCTTTTCATCGTTAGTGTGCTATGAAACTGGAGTGATGTTACTAACTGGGAGTGGTTATTTAGTGGTTATAGTTTAAACCCTTTTCATCGTTAGTGTGCTATGAAACTGGAGTGATGTTACTAACTGGGAGTGGTTTTTTAGTGTTTATAGTTTAAACCCTTTTCATCGTTAGTGTGTTATGAAACTGGAGTGAAGTTACTAACTGGGAGTGGTTATTTAGTGGTTATAGTTTAAACCCTTTTCATCGTTAGTGTGTTATGAAACTGGAGTGATGTTACTAACTGGGAGTGGTTATTTAGTGGTTATAGTTTAAACCCTTTTCATCGTTAGTGTGCTATGAAACTGGAGTGATGTTACTAACTGGGAGTGTCTTCAACTAGAATCATTTCGTCTTGTTTTGACACTAAATTTCAGTCTCTTTCAAGTTAACTGTTTTTCTCTTTGTAAGCAGTTGTAGTGTTTATTCGATTATGGCTGTGTTTTAGTTACGGATTTCTTTTAGAAACCTATTGGAACAATAATATCAGTAATAGATTGTTAATTAGTTTTTAATAACTGTTTGGCCTGTTGTGAATAAGGGTGGGGTGGAAACTCTGTTTGCACTTTCTGATAATATAAATACTCGACAAATGGGGCATAGTCTATATACTGATAATCTAGTGGACTTACCCTAAATCGTGAACTTCAAGCGCTTTCAGTCCGTTGTGGTTAAAACCACAGTCTCCTTTAGGAATAACGTTTATCTGCCATATATAAAATTTTACAGCAAATCCTTTTATTTTATTGTAAAATTCAATAAAAGTGTTGTAAGGTACTACCTGGAAACCAAAGACTGTGTAAGTAGAAACTTATAACCTCTTCAACAGATTGATAATGCCAAATTATATGTTTTAGTCATTACTGATTATCTGACTAAGTGCAAAATATAGTATCCATAATTCAGTGACTCTTTAGCATAGTCACTTGTTAATAAGTTGGCTGATCAATAGACAGATTGGTATGAAGCACCTGAAGAAGTCCATACAGATCAGAGATCGAACTTCTACGATCAACTGTTTGTACATTTCTCAATCTCGTCCGAACTCTGTTGATTTGACTGAATGGGTTACATAGATTGTGAGGTATGTGTTTGTTAAGTTTGCGAACTCTCACTTAACTGATTAGAATTAATACATGCTATTAATCATATTTGTGTATTGGGCACCCGAGCAACAGTTAAATGATTGTTCGCTGAACTTACTGATGCTTACACGTGAAGTATCGTTCTCGGTGGATGTATGATAAAAGCTACTTCATAGTGTAGACGTGCCTATAGGTGATAAAAATGCATTTTCCTTCTCAATAGGTGACTGTATTTGCCTTGTTATACTAAGAATGAAGGTATGAAAGCTAGAGCCTGGATACTGAATATGGATTTGACATGCGCCTGCAAAGCAGAAGCAACGCTGTTTTCATTCTAGATTGGCTTTTACCTCAAACTTTGACTGCTCAATCGACAAAACTACAAATTGAAAAGCAAAATCATGTGGAACACTTTGACAAACTTAAGCTATATGTCACTGACAGACTTTTCATGCGCTGACTAGACCAACAACAAAGGTTCAGAGGATTTTGTAAGTCGCAGTCAGTGAGATCACTGTGTTCTGTCGTCTATTTAGCTAATGAGAAAGGTGTCATAAGATATTATATGTATTCAGCAGTTAAAATAGCAATAAGATACAAAATGGAGCCAATGCCATTATTCTCCAATCCACTGAGTTGTATTTCAGTATAAAATATGCATATGGCACTCTGTTTTAACCATTTGATTAAACATATTGGAAGAGCTTTATAATCCCAGATTACGTGAGTAAATAACCGAGGAAATCTGTAACAACAGTTGGGACAGTTATGAGATTTGGAGCCTGCGCTGCAGTGAAATTACAGCTGCAATTATATGATAACCCTTGATTTAATATCTGTTAGGTGGAATTTTATAATAGAATACGCTTCTGAATATTTTGTAAGAATAATTGTATTACTACGTCTATGAAGGCTGGTATGTGTAGGCATAATACCTGGAATACTGATAGTTGGTGTAGCTGTTTATTATCAGGAGTAATTCTAATACTTCAATAGGTTTAATAGGCTTTAGAGAATTTGTTTAATGAGCACTTGGAAGCATATTTATGATGAAAATAGACACTTCTTTATCCGAACAACTGACTGGAACATTTTATTTGCGTGTATGTATGACTTTACGTTGTATTTGCACCCATGACCACACCTTTGGGTGTGGAAGGTCTATACCAGTCTTCATAGTGCACGATAATGGAGTTGTTATCTTAAGATATAAAAATTATAACTTGGACTTTTATAAGATATAGTAGAAAAGTCCTTGCTTCAATAAACTGTGTTTGAACATTTTTTTTCTTCTGCTGCCCACCCATTGTAGTGAGTTTTGTGACACATAGAGGACAGCACTAAACTAGGACTATTTTTACGGGGTTTACACCGTTAAGTTGTACGTTGTATTGTCCTTCAAAAGTCTGTATGTATATTAGTATATACTATAGTTGATGGCGTGAAGTGTACTCCAGGTTGAGTGAAGAGCAGAGGAAAATGTTTGCTGGATTAAACCTGTAACAGTTTTCTTTTCAAGTGATACCATTTCACTACTATATTTGCCATTAATTGGTCAGAATTATAATAGAAGTACATACATTCATTGAACATAAGTACAAATGTAAGTACATTTATTAAATATATCATGTTGTTGTATGTATATGTTCGTTACAATATACATGTATTTTACGTCAAGTATGAATTCATTCATACAATATTGGATATAAGTATGGAAACAAAGGACATAGTGGGCATATAATGCAAATCATATAAAGCAAATATGCACAAACATAAGCACAATGCCTTATGACAAAAATATGTAAAGACAAATGAATAAATGAATACAGAATATTAACATTTGATGTGAGACCCCCTGCTATATATGCAAAGTTTGACATCGTGCTACCATAGAGCTTATCAATGAAGAACTGTGGAATGTTGTTCCACATATACTGTAACACTTTCCACAATTCATCCAAGTTGTTTGATTGCATCCATATAACCCCATATGGCCTAGCTGACATTCGTATCGGGACATTGTAAAGTACACGACACGCTTTTGAGTGTTTCATAAGCCTTTTTAAGTGCCAAATACGTTTTCACTATATTGGTTGTATGCTTATGGTCATTTTCATGTTGAAACATAAAACTCTGCCTAATGTTTCTAGGGGAATAGTATGGTAGATCAGAACTAGTCTGAATATGTGTGTAGTCAGTATTCCTTTGATATTATATAAATCCCTGACACCCTTGACTGAGATACAGTCCACAAATATATTCATCCACCCCTATGCTTTACTGTAGTTGTTGTACATTAACGTTATACCACTCTTCAGACCGCCTTCGAAAAAACTACCGTTGATTACTTCCAAATATATCAAACCTGGGCTCGTTTGTAAAAAGCAAAGATTTCCGAACAACTGGATGCCCATTGAAATCATTTTGGGGTAATATCAATGA